GTCAACTGAATCAACATCGAATTATAATAATGCCCTACTAAGCATGTTCAAAAGGTGATTCATTGCATGTACCACCATCCCTCAAAGAGTTAAATTAACCTTTGAACATCATAAATAAATGGACGCTAATTTCATTATTCATAACTTTTAAATGAATATTCTTATTTTTTCTTAAAATATCCTTCGAGTCTCTTCGTGTCCGGGATTTTATATAAATTTTGCATACATTTTGAAAGAAAAACTTATGTTTTGTTAAATTTGATCAAGTTACATTTAAGTTTAGCAGTTTTTTTTCTCACGACACCTTTTTTTATGATAGCAAATGCATAGATTTTATATAACAATTGTACTAATATTATTTACTGCGTCTTCGGTTCTAATATTTCTTTTCTCTAAAATAAGAATCACATCACATTGTTTCGATTTCGCTTAATCGGGACAAATGGAGATTAGTATATTAGTCCCGATTAAGCGGCTGAATCAATTATCCGAATTTCCATTTCCATTTGTTATGTGCTCGGTTTTGTTTCCGTTCTTTAGGATTTCTCTCTAATAAGCGGAATAAGTAGAATTGACTGTTCTTATAATTATCATTCGAACAACTCCAGCTCTAGGATTTCCTCTTAATTAATTGCCACGTTAGCATTTTTGTGGTAAATTTTCATATATACATACATGACATAATTGCCATGTTACCTTTTAAACATTTTCGCCTCTGAGATTTCTTCTAAATTAACTGCACAAATTTCAAAACTAATTGCCACATTACCTTTTTTAAATTTTGTATATTTTTTAACTGAATCAGAGTAATCTTCGAGTATTATTCATGCATCTTGGGCTTCAAGATTTTGTCTAAAAATTTCATGAAATTAACTGGCACGTCACCTATTTCTCTTTTTTTACTTGCCTCGTTGCTCGAGGTAAGGTCGAAGCAATTAAAAGCGAAAAAAGCGATTGCTCCATTCGTCTTTTGCGTTATTTCCTACTTGTTTAGAGCTTCCTAATGAGCGGCTTCATTCTATTAAAATTAAGGCCATTTATTCTTTCCGCCCTCCATCCAACTGGGGAAAATTATAAATTAACGCAAGTGTAGAATGGGGGAGGTCGAGCGCCCCGCAGAGTGCGGGCGGGAAACATTCCCATGCTAATGCGGCCCTTTTGTGTCCTCTCGCATCTCCATAGGAGGGAGGATCACCCTCACGTCCTTTCGTCCGGAATAAAAATATAAGCTAAGAAGATAATCGTTTCGGACATTCCTTCCCCAAAACCCAGTATAAATTTACGCGGAAAACTTCTCTGATGAAGCAATAACTCTAGACGCCGTTGGCAATTAATTTTCCGCGAAGATTTCCGGTCAGCTTGATTTGTGGGTCCGATGTAAATGTGCCATTCAATTTATTATATTTATTATATATATAATACACACACACACACACACATCTGCCATATGAAACAAACAAACAGAGGCACGTCGAAGGAAGGGAAAAACGGATGATCTAATGCCTTGTTCTACCCGACATTGATGTATTGCGTTCCATCCCATTTTCCCGCCGTTAAAATAAGTCTATTACGGGGGTCGGAAAAATGATACAGGTTTTTCCATCCGATGTTCTTTTTATATCCTGCGGGCTCCGATGCGTTCTGGAAACGGATAATATTTCATTCATTCCATTCTTTGATTAAATTTCATGTATCGTTGTTGTTCGCTGTTTTCTCTTACATTTTTCACATTAAAATCCAGCTAAATGGATATTTTCATTGTGACACTCAAGTATGAACCGCAAGGTTTAACTTTACACGTAATTTATTACAGTTCCATTTTTTTTTGTACTTGGTAACTTTTGTAATAAAATTCTTAATGCATTTTTTTTTAACAAACAAAGAAATCATATAAAACATATATAAATCATATAAAACTATAATAATTAAATAAAGATAAATTGATTTATCTTACAATATTATATTTAACTAGACGATTGATTTCAAACACATAAATAAATCATATTTTTTTAGATTTATGAAACAAAGTCTAGTTATATTGAAAATACATAATAACAAAAAGAAAACGTATTTATATAATCACGACATAGTAAAAAAATAATAAACTGTTACAAAGGTTTATTGACTTAAGGTCAATCTACCTTATTTTCTACATTTTTTTCTACATAATTTTATTTTTAGGTAACTTCAATCCTTTGATTTATTTAATCCACTTTAAAATTTCTTAATTATCTACCTTTCTTTTTAATTTATTAATCAAAATCGAGGCCGGACATTTAATTTGGGGGTCCTGGGTAAATACCTTTTGAGGGCCTTAGACTAATATTGTCTGGGACCCACGAGTTACATTGTTTCAGGAACCTCGACTAACACATTTTGGGAAACACAAGTTACACTAACACAATTTAGGGACACTCCACTATTTTTTTTTTGGGCCCATAAGACCATTTCCATATCTGAGTCAGGTTTCATACAGTTTGGGATGTTAGAGGAACCGATTACCCGCATTATGCATTATGAATAAATAAAATATATATGAATTGAAATATAGCAATATTTTTCGTTATATAACTTCTATGTAGGACTGTACAAAATTGAAAAATATTTAGATCAATTTTGCAATGAATGTGTGGATCGTTTGGTGGATACAAAATTCGGTTCCTTTTCATTCCAGAAAACGCGAAAGGCAGAATGTTTCCAGTGATAGATTTCAATAATTTCCAGTTGAATTTTTGTTCGGTTCGACTCCACAAAGGATTCCCATATTTTCGTTTCGCGAAGCGAAAAGTCCCTTCCCGCTTTGTCCACCAAACCAAAAAAATGTTTTGTATAATATTCCCCTCAAATATCACGTCGTCCTGGTAACAAGGAACATTGTTACCCACGACTGGACTTTTTTTATCGATCCTCTCACGATTCACCTGAATATGCAGCTCCTAAAGAATACTTGGAAAGTCGAGCCGACGATGAATTTGCATGCGAACTAATCCCAATTACCATCGGCCGCTGCGGTGCTCCTAAATTACAACGAAAAAGTTAATAAAAAAAGTATATATAGTAAAAGCTGTAAAAAAAACAATTTGATATTCCTGGCGCGCGCTCGGTCGACCCCAAAAAAACGGATTCGGTAATAAAAGCTACCTTAGTCAGCAGGAAATACTTATACTTATATATATAGATATATTTTTTGCGTGCGTTTTTGTGCGCCTCAAGGTGTTGAAGCGCCCTCCGAGGGCCGGTCTAATCGCCCTTTACGTTCGCGGTTTCATTAAGGGCTGCCACGACATCTGCCGCCCCCGCGGGTCCTGTTTACACTTTGCGCGGTAGGCGGCGCGACTACCGCTAATCTCCTGAAGATAATAACATCATGAAGAAGCTGCAGAAGTGGAGATCTTTTGGGGATGTAAGAAAAAAATAGGGAGGAGGTACGGAGATATCCCGAAAAGTTTTATGCGCGATTCCCACCGCGAGCCAAATTTAAATTAGAATACTAAAGAAAATGGAATGGAAACTTTCCGGATTAGGCGAACCGGGTGAAACTATTTATTTCATTGCTACGAACTTTAAAAGAGGGCCCTAAAGTACGTTGTTCGTTGGAAAGAAACTTTTATATCGTAATGTTAACGTAAACCTCACTCTAAGACCGGAATAATTATTACCCTAAACTCATATTTTTTTTATTCTTTTAGTTGCAATATTTTATTAAAGAACATTTCTAAAATGATACTACTTGCATATTTATAGTAATATATAAATTAACATATTTTTTTGATGTTAAAATTAATATGCGTTATTCATGCTTATTTTGTTTTTTGATGATTACTCGAATTATTATTATAAATTTCTATTATTACAAAAAATGGGTGTCATAAATCCTTTAGTTATGAAATATTAATTAATTAGAGAATTTTATTTCTTTTAGTAATTTACGATTTTTTTATAATTTTTAGACGAATATTTGTTTCTAAAGTTTTTAGATTCATTTGAAAAGTGTATTTAAATAACAACTGATAAGTAATATTCATGAATAACTAAGATATGGTTATTTTTACACGTCTTCACATTACTCGTAATTGAAGTGTCCTAATTAGTACCGAGAATAAACAAATTTAAAGACTTATGACTTTTCTAATCAGATAACTTCTAAATATGTGTTGCTTATCATTTTGATGTAACAAACTGTCACACATGTATTAAAAAAATTGCAAAAAAATCGCGTTTAGTACATTCATTTTTTCCATGGTCTTTCTAATGAGCCAACTTTAAGATTTGTTGTATTTTCTTAAATACTATAATAGATTTCAAAATTTCTGCAATTTTTACCTATATAGAACACTTTTTTTTAATTAGATTACATTTTTATTTCTCATATTTTTATATAAAAATCTGTAAATTATTAAACCAGATTTAGAAACTTTTATCATTTTTTTCTTCCATTTTTGTCTTATTATGTATGTTAATTACTTATTAACACAAGATTACGTATTTCTAATTACAATTAACTATTTATTTGTTTGTTAATATTATAATTGTCGTTAGATTTTTTTTTGTGATATTACAGAAACACATTAGAAAATTAATTGATATAAGATGTTTATTATAAAGTAATAAAACTTATTGGATTTTGCGAAAACAACAGCAATTCATTATTATCAAACAATTACATAATTACTATCAAAACATATATTTTGTAGTGTACGATTAGTAATTATATATTAGCATATGATTACGTAATTAAAAATTTACTAATTATACATTTCAGTTCTTGGAATAATGGAAATTTATCTTTTTGTTATATTACGATGAGAATAATTGTGACTATATATTTTGTATATGTATAAATAATTAATTATAATTGGTGGAATCAATATGAAAGTGTATAATTATTAATTACATTACTAATTACGTAATATAATTAATTGAAAATTAATGTTATTATTAATATTACTACTTTGTTTGTAATGATTTTTAATATTTGTTATTTTTATTTCGTGTTTCAGGGGAAGTGGAGCGTCTTCTGCGGGAGTACACGCAAAACCAGGAAATGGTCCGAAACATCGGCTCGCATTACTACCAAATCATATACCCGGTGCAGTTGCGACAGCACAAGAAAATGGGCATCTCCACAAGGGAGATAGGGTCGTCTAAGGTACGAAAAGCGAGGAGTACGGTATGTCATTGCACATTTCACCCCATTAATACAGAGCGATACAAATAATAGAAATAAAAAGGTCGTTTTCTTTTCTTCTTCTACGCAATAAACATACTAAATAACTAAATATAGTATAAATACACAGACTTTTTATTTGTTTATTTCTCGTTTAAATTTATTCTAAAATTATTTTATTTTATTTTTTCAATCAAATCATACATGGTTATTGTTTTAATTACTTATTTGGAGATACACACACTCGAAAGGCACAGCATCCCCTAATTCCCATCCCGCCCTCACAATTAAAATAACAAACGTGTAACGTCTCTTACTCGTTGTAACCATTTCCCTTCTTTTTCTCGCTCTCTTCAACATTTAAACATCATCTCTACTAATTTCTCTCTGTCTTTCTCGCTGTTGAACCTCGAAAGCTGTCTGGCTCGAGTGAATTTACTACGTTTACTTTGTGGAGCTTTCGTTTCGCTTGATATGAATAATGGATGCGGATCGCGATTACGCGGAAACCGACCCGCAAAAAGCTCGCTAATAAAGCTGTGCGACGTGGCGTTTCGCGCTCGTCGTGGCGCCGCGACGCCGACGCACGCATTACGTAATTAGGGGAATGCGCCTGTGTTTCCGCGGGCGAAACGCCCGTTTTGTTACATAATTGCGGCGATGGTGCCTACTTCCCACCCATAGATAAACAGACACGAAAGCTCGGGGCACTCTCGATTTTCCCACCAAGCACCACCGTTTAACTTTAATCGCGTGCACGCGTGACCCTTGCAAAGGGTTACTTCATACACCAGTTACAACATATTAACTTTTTTTTCAATTTGTAGCTGAAATTAGTTTTTTCTAAATTATAATGTAAGGATTCATCTAATAGTGGAATTTGTTACATTACAACTCACAAATGATGGAATCGCCGGGTACTTTTACCAATTTTTAACAAATATGAGATTTATTTTGTGTCACTTAAATGATTAGGTTCTTACAGATACAAAAACAATTTCAAGAACTCATTTATATCGCAATTGGATTTTAATTTTTTTTTTGTTCCCGGGAAACATAAAACTAACAATAAGATGTAGCTTAGACCCTTACCAATACAAAAAAAATATAAAAGAATTTCAATTGGAAATTAAGTTTTTTAGGATTTTGCTTGTTCCCGGGGAACTTAAAAGTGAAATTAAAAAAAGTTAAGTAAACAGTAAGGAAGTAACTAAAAAATAAAAATTTTATCTCTGTTTTTGTTTTCGTTACACTACTTCATGTAATTACAAAAAATAAAGTATTTTCTAGTATTGTAAACATATTTCATATTAGCCAAATATTTAATTGATTTTTACCGTTAAACTAGGCAAAACCAATACAAAATTATCGTTATTAGTATTATTCCCAGAAAATATTAGAACTATGTAAATTAATTAATGACTAATAAACTAAATTATTTACAAATATTTTTTTAATTTAAATTATTTATTTTTATAATATTAATTAATTGAAGATGAAGAAAGAAAATGTTTTACCCTATTTTTTCCCAATTTACTATTTAATTAAAAAATCCATTCATTTCATCGAATTGTGTTTATTTTGTTAATCTAATATGATTTTTTTTAAAGTTAAAATTTCAAAATTTCTTCAATCAATTATTTTTTAATTCATTAATTGGTGTATAAGAAAATTATGATTTATAAGGCGACAAGATTTTATAAATATGTTTTTTTTTTATTAATAAACTGGAATATGTATGTCTTCTCCAAGTTGTGAATATTTGTTGAATTTTTTTTTTAATCACATAAAACTTTTTTTATTTTTTGCTTTTCCTATGCGCTAATGCACTAAATTCCATTGAATGAATGAAAAAAGAAATAACAATTTTCTTGACTATAGAGTGAAGTCATCGCTGTAATATTTTTATGGTTTACTCCTTAAGTATGACGATTTTTACGGCCTTCGCAGTACAGATTTTTATGACTCCATCTTCCATTCCAATTTAACAGCAAATGTGGTCCGGCCCAGTATCTCCTCTTAAGCTGTTTGTCTCGAGAATGCACCGATAAAACCGATCGAAGACGCATTAACTTTTATTGCCTACCATTGATTTACAAAGCGATAAACAATCTAAACAATTCACACCTGAACACCACAAAACCTTTATTCAATTTAGTTTTTTAAATTTTGAGGGAGAGACATTTTCACGATGTTTATGCGAGGATATGGAGCCTAAAAACCGTGCCAAAATTTCGACTCATAATAGATGCGAAGCAAAGCTAATAAAAGCCGGATTTATAGTGATGGTCGGGTGAAAAGTGCGACCACTTATACAAATTACGTTCCACCCCTAATGGATCGTGAGTAATCCATACGATATGCCGGGGCCACTACCAAACTTCTTTATTTGATGACCAACTTAAATATATCAAAGCATTTCCTTTTTAAGAAACATTGCAATTATATAATTAGTTTATAACCATTTTGCAGACAAAAAATATATAATTTCTACTACTAATTATTATTTTGAAATGCGGCATCTATACTAGAATGACAAAAATGACATAAATAACTACCAGGAGTACCAACTATTATTGTCAGTTATTATATAAATGTTTGATATGTACCCTATGAAGATTTTAATTTGGGGTTCCAAGCCTTATTTTTTGTTTTAATTTTCAAATTTTGATAATTAAAGTTCAACTTGTATTTTGTATCATATGAACAAATTTAATTTTTTTAATAATAAGGAAGGACCTATGTGTGATCAAAACTAATAGATCTTTTGATTGAATTTTTGCAACTTTTTATTTGAAGGAATCTGATAAATTTTAATTTGAGGGCCCCATCAAATATTCATTTGAAGCATCAGATAAAGTTTGTGTCTTAGTTATCATATAATTCAAAACTTTTATATTCTATTGATAAAGTAGATTTTTGTAGTTATACATGATGTATGGCGTAAAAGACTTGGGTAAATTGAGAGCCCCATATAAATTGAATTTGGTAATATTGTGAAGGCAGTTAACTTTTTTTTTTGATTTATGATATTTATATTATTGGATTGAATTTTTAATTTTTTAATTTTCTGTTTCAATAAATATTATTATTTAAATAACTTGTTTATTGCACATTTAGCTCGAGGGCCCGTGTGCGCTACACTCGCTGTACATAGATTGCTACGCCACTAATGCCACACGTACTATGTATAATGTTTTATAAAATATGAAATATGTTTCTAAATATTTTTAGAGAAACAGTAAAATAATATTTGGAAAAATATACATTTACCAATCTTAAACTTTAAATATTATTAAGAAAATATTTATTCATTTTAAACTATATATTTTCATTGTTTCATTTAAAAGATATTTTAATATACAAAATTTATAACATTTTGTAAAAAAAATATATTTTTCTGCATTCTACGGACTTGAAAATGTGTTGTTTTTTGTAATTTCACTAATCCAAATGACTGTATAAATATTATTCAAAGGTCTACACGCATAATTCAGATGAGTTTACAAAGGCAAAGTGGATTTTAAATTTCATTTTCGTTTCTCTCCAGTTTACGCTCCGCATTCCGCAAAGGGCGTTAATCCGATGCGTGTCCGTCGTAAAAAAATAGCACGTAACTCCCTGAGCGAAATAAAACTTCGCCGCGTCCCTTGGTCCTTCGTGAAACGATTAAAAACGTGTTTTAAGCAGATTACTTTTTCGTTACTGTTCGTGCTCACCCTTGTATTGTGCGAGTTTTTTCTATTTATATAATGTTTTTTGCATTACTTCCACTCGCCTGCAAAAATAACGCTCTTCCAAAATGCACCGGATTACACGTCCTTTAGGTAATCCGTAACATACTAAAAAAAAACTGTATGTTTTATGCTCAGGTCATTAAAAAAAACGTGTATAGAATAATTATTTAAAAAAAAAAAATTGAAAAAAAATCTGATTTTAAACACAAAATTAAGTATGATATTATGGCCTTAATCGAAATAAAATTGTTAAAAAAACAACTTCATATTTTGTTTAAATGAAATCTAATTTATTTAATATTTCATTCGAAAAAAATATGAGCAATTTTATGCTTTTCCATTTCAATAAAGTATATCAGGTTTAAAATTTAAATTAAATTTCAATCGAAAAACAATGAAGTTGGACAAATTTGATGTTTGCAATTGCTTTATTCCTTTTTTTACTTAATTAAATTTAATTTTCGATTTGGAAATTCAATTTGTGATTTAAATTTTAAAAAATGATTTACCTGGGTTATAGAGCGATTTGGTATAGGCATAAATTGAAATATATATATAAAACGGGGACCGATAAATTTGCATTTGGTAGTATTAATTATTGTTGCGTAATTTGTTCAGATTCGAATGCATTTGGGACCGAAAAACAAAACAAAATGATCACACATGAATTTAGGGAAAAAAACAAACAAAAATAATGCAACACAACAACATGTAGAATCGACCATTTGTGAAATGGATTTTCGTCGATTTATTAATAATCAAACCATCGGATTAATCGTGTTCAATTACGAAGTAATTTCGATGGTGATAATTTGCATATACATATAAATTATATACAAAATGTTTGTATTAATATAAATAATGTATGAAATTCTGTTTTTTTGATTGCTTCATTTAATAATTATAGTTCAATTATAGAATGGAAATTTGACATTTGACTAATTTATGTAATAAATTCTTATATAATAAAAAAGTTTTTTCAGCCTTAGTGTATATTTTTATATTTATTTCTCAATTTATATTTGAGGTTTTTTATAATTTGCATTAGACCTATATTAAACCTATAGTAATTATCAAGCCAGACTATGTGAGGTATTGCTGTATAGTTCTTATAATATAGCAAGAATCGGCACCTACGGCTCTTTTGCTAAGAAATGCAGTTCCCAGCGATTATGAGACTAAATACGGTTCCATAGAAATATCTTAAAAATGGCTCTTTACTACAAAAACAAAACCACAATATCTTAAAAAATAAATAAATATATA